TAAAAAAGAAAAATTTATTACTCGACGAGATTATTATTATTAATTATTTTACATTAAATTAAATCGCCAGAGAATGAAATTTCAGGGTGAGCAGTGCTGACTTTTTTTTCTATCTTGCGTATAGTAGCGGAGAAAGGAGGAAAAAAGTTATAAAAGAATTTCATCGAAACTAAATATATAGGCGGAATTTGAAAGAAATACTGGAATGAACAAATGAGAAGGTTGACTGATAATAGTATTTCTGATTTCGTGGGAAAAGGTTGTAGAATTCTATGGGAACGAGATATGGGTATAATGATCGAGGAAGTAATACTGGGATGTAAACACTTGGTAGTTGCTCTGGGAAAGAACTTTTAGGAAGAGGGGATGTTAAGTGCGGGAATTGTCTGTTTCGTCGATTCCGTTAATTTTAATGACATTTAAAAGAACATTATTTGCACTAGTGAATTATTTATTCTTTAGCGATTAATTTAATTTCGGGACAAATAAATAATCCATGAGATTACAATTTTCTGCTGTAGTAATATTCGCGTCAGATGGCGGAGCCCAAAGAGATGAGGTGAAGTTCATCACTCGATTAAAAAGTCGCGCATAGATTTTTATGAAACGGAAACTATTTAACGTATAAAACTTTACATGATGAAACCGTATGTATGATTGACTGACTGACTAAATGAGCAAAATAGAATAAAACATAAAATAGGCAGCAAAATCAGATACAGAATAAGAACAGAAAAAATAAGAGAGAGTCTCGCGGTGTCATCTGTTTATATCTGAGTTTTTGAAGATGGTTTTTTGATGGGATGTGTTAAGCTGGAAAATCGAGGATTCAAGTTGGTGAGATTTTTTCGCTTTTGGTAGAAAATTTGTTTCTCGTATTATTACTGGCGAACTATTTCCAAAATTGTTCCTCCTACACTACAAATTTCAACCTCTTGAAAACTTATTGGTGACACGTCATCATCTTCTCCAAGGATTTCGGACTTACAGCCGCCCATTGGCGAGTTTAATTTTATAAGATTCGCAATAATGTTCTTTCAAATAAAAATTCTCTTTATTCTTGATCTTGTAAAAAATTCAATTTTATTATAATTTTCATTTTTAGATGCGACCTCGCGGAATTCAATGGACTGATTGCCTAGTCCAAGAACTCTCTATTTTAAGAATCGAAAATACGTCTAGAAAATTCGAGTTATTCGTTATTGAGAGTTTTAAATCGATATTCCATTTCTTCCATTTATAATAAGTTTTATTTGTATTCTTATCTTAGGAGTCTGCGTCCATAGATAAATGGACAAAGGTTACAAAAAGTAAAACTTTTGAATGATCAAAGAAAAGAAAGAAAGAGAAAAAAGACAAATCTTGTTTCTAAAATTTTCTTATCCTAAAATTAAATTCTAAAATGATATATGGACAATGGTCACAGGTTTAAGTTTTTCCGTTTTGAGCAGAGGGGATCTTATTCATCGTCCCTTTCAAACGATCTAGTTACAGTTTCTCGAATTTTCACATTTCTTCCTTTTTTTTCATCTTCGATTTCTCTTTTATTATGTACTTGAACGTGCGTTTTCTCATCTAAACTAGTATTTGCCCAAGTTTTATGATCGCCAACAAAAAATTAAAAGCTCTTGTCATCCTGCATTTATTTTATTACTTCCCGTTGTTGACGAGAAAATGTCCTTCAACATTTTTTTACGCGTTTGGAAATGTGAGTTTTTATCTATCAGGATCTCTGATCTGCATTTGGATATTGCATTTACTGAAACTGAACGACACGTCTCTTACATAATGGATGCATTCAGAAGCGACGACCACTCACTGAGCAAAAAAGAGATTTATCTATTATTAATATGTTTATTTATTATAATTCGTAACATAGAATAAGTGATGGAGCGTAATTTTAAGTCGCTCTATCGTTTACTGAGCGCTATATAACCTTACAGTCTAAACACGGCATTAGAGAAATAATAAATAGTAATAAATAAGAAAGATGATATTAAAGATTATCCATAATAAACAAAATTATTCTACGTTACGAATTATAATAAATAAACATATTAATAATAGATAAATTTCTTTTTTGCTCAGTGAGCGGTCGTCGCTTCTGAATGTATCCATTATGTAAGAGACGTGTCGTTGGAAACCTTCCCAATGATTTTGGAAAGACAAGCAAAAACATAGATATCCAGAATCGCCTGATTCATGGTAATAAAATTTATAACAAGATTACAAACCAAGTTGAGAAAGTTTAAACACGTTCAGTATATACATATAATAAATAAATCTCTTTTTTGCTCCGTGAATGATCGTTGATTCTGGATGCACTCATTGTCACGCTCGCTAATTGATGGTGACTGTTGGTTAACGTTCGCATTTTTTGTTCGCGCTTATCCTAATAATTACCTTGTCGAACGTTCAAAACGAGAACATCGTGGAGTCCACTGGATGTAATAATAAAATGTAAAATAGCTTGTCAACTATAGTTTTTTTTGATATCACTATCTTAATATCTTTTATATGCAGAATAATTAGAGGAATCATATTGTGTAAAAAAAAAATCATACAATTCGATTTAAAAAAGTGTAATCTTCATATCTTTTTGACGTCTCCACCTAGAAAAAAAACAACATGATCAAAATACGTCCTCCCTCTTCCACTTTTATTTGAAACTTGTTTTATATCATCAAAAATAAGCAAGATATTCCAGATGGTCGATTTAAGTGGACCACCCTATATATGAGTTTAAAAATAAACTTCCAAATTAAATACTAGTACTTACATTTTGTTAATATCGGCACCATACTCTGCTTGTATGATCAGTTCAGCTAATTTACATCGTGCATTATTATCTAAAGTAGATTTATAGAATTCAAGTATAGCTTTTTCTGTTTTTTGGAGAATTTCATAAATGTACTAAAAATTAAAAGAAATTAATCTTATTAATTAAACTGATCTATATCTCGTATTAATCTAATGCGAGATTCTGTCTATTATATTAGCTATTCATCTTATTGAATCTATTCATCTCATTCATTATATTGAAAAATTATTCAAGAACGAAACTAAAAATTTACATTTTCCGAAGGATTATTATCATTTAGTATTATTGGATTATTGTGTTCTATAATTTGTTCTAAACATAACTTTTTCCCTGAGGTTGTTTTTACCGTTAATATCTTTATCTCATATTATTAATGAAGATTCCGGATAAATATTCTGGTTCTGAAAATTAACTTATTGAAGTGGAAAGTGAAATCACTGATATAGTCTACAATTACATCTATACATATTTGTTCTTGTATGTTTTCATTTTCCTTAAAGATAAAAAAATTCCGAAACTAATATAAGCAATATAAATATAGAAAAAGATTTGCCTATCTCTCATCTATTAATTAAATCATCTATTTCTCCGAGAAATTGAGTTTCTACAGATTAGTTTGAAATTTGAATATTATGTTTATAAATATTATGAAATTGAATATTATGAAATAATTTTATCTATGATTAAAATTTCAAAGAGCGATGCTGAAATGGAGATATTCACCTTCAAAGTTTCAGCTTTTAACACGTAAACTTCTATACCAAGCCTTGCTGAAATAACGTTTTAATACTTCGCGGTCTCCTACAAATTTAAAAAAAAAATATGTAATGTAGAAATAATTATAGAAACCTCATTAAAAAAATGGGGAAGCCTAGCAATGCCGTTTCTAAATTAGAGTAGTTTATGTAATTTGATAGAAATTCTCCTTCTCGCACGCTGAGTGGCGAGACAAGGACACACTGTCTTCAGTGTGGACTAGTGTTCATGCACACAGGTACATTAATGCGTATGTGTGTACGCTCGCCTCAAAAGTTTCTCTCTTCGGAGAGCACGCGCGGAGAGGCATATTCGTAGATTGTACGCGATTAATTTTCTAACGCAATTGTAGTCAGAGAAATATCTTAACTGAATTTCTATTCTATAGAATCTTTACAAACCTCAATAATAGACTTTATTTCTTTTCTCAATTTTAGTTGATCGCCTATATTGCTTATGACAGATGGAATTGTGTCGGAATAGTTATGAAAATTTTAAAGTTTCATAATCAATCTGTTTTTTTATAAATATGTGGACAAATATTTTCTAAACATGCACTTATATATAACTTTCTAAACATCCAATAATTGTATTTCCAGATGTATTTCCTTTTTATTATTCATAAATAATGCAATAAGATGCGACAGTTTCATGTATTCTTACAACGTTCCATAATACAATAACAAAATAAAAAGTCTTTTCACGATACTAATCGACGCGTGTGTTATAAGCAAATTGCATCTGCAAATTCTATGAAACAAATCAAAGGCTCGAACTATGCACACAACTAGATATATATATATGTGCGCTTAGAATAATGAGCGTTTCACATATCTTTAACTATTAGATTGTCCGGAAAGTTTGTGCCGATGTTGAAGGAAAATTGAAACGCAGAAAATTTAAATTTTAGTATACATTTATTAAATTATATAAGTTAGTCGGCACGAACTTTCCGGACAACCCAATAGTAAGCGTGAGTCGCTTTTGCTTTTTGAAAATTGCAACTTCATTTATAGTATGATGAAATTACTAATAAGAAATTAATTCTTATTAATAATTTAATTCTTATCATACATATATACTTTATATCACGATTGTCGCAACTATACGAATATATAACTTATCCATAATAAATAATCCCCCAACCAAGTTTTGTCACAACCGGATCGCGTCTAACTACATTGACATAATTGACACATCAAAGTAATTAAATCAACCACACATTCCTATCACATAATGATAATTATAGAGTGATATTGCTCACAACTAAATATTTTTAGTTATGTGAACTATATCTTTTTTTCCATGTTTAATTTACAAATTTTTTTAAAAAATTTAAAATTAATACAATTAGAGAGTATTGAATAATTAACTCGATTACGAATTGTCTTACATTTCAGCAGCTTTCTTTCGTGTTTTACAGCGTATGGATAACAGTGGTGGTCATAAATGTGCATTACCGTTCGCCGCAAACCCATGTAATGAAGCCGTGGGTCCGACGCGTGTTCATCCAATTGCTGCCGAGGCTGCTGGCAATGCGCAGGTATAATACGCCATCGCAGAGAATCAATTACGATTTCAGGCAAGATATATTCTTCTGGCATTTGTGGCCTAGTCATTGGATCCACGCCAGAGCGGGCATTAGAGCACTCATTAGTGTTTCCTGTGCACGTGACATTAGTGTCGCGTTCTCAGTGAGAAATGATTATGGAATCGACATCGAATCGACATTGATTTCGATTCGACATCGAATTCATCAAATCGACATCGAATCGACATTGATTTTGTCATTTCTCACTGAGTCATACCTGCAAGCATTAATTAGCACCATTTCACGGTGCATCACTTCTGCATCGCGCTGCATCGTGAGTAATCGTGTCTGCCTATCATTAGTCGCATCTCTCCCTACTGTGTTGTCATACAAATAAAATTTCCTGATTCCCAGCGAGATATCGTTTGACATCGACGATCAGTCATTGACAGACCGTATTATTTATTCAACCAGAAAATATTCAATATAATGAATGTAGTACAACAAAACTATATTCAGATATTGTTCGAATCTTTCTGAAGAAAAAGATTCTTTCTCGATGATACAAAATAATGAAATTGAACATAATGTTCTATAATTCCATTCAGGAATTTTATTTTATGATGCGTAACATTATTTTGGCGCAACGCCGTTACATCTTACATACATGTACAATACAATACTTATATAGCCGGTCACAGAAAGATTGCAATATCTTTTTTCGATGAGTTTCGGAGTGCAACTTAACCGCTCATCGAGCGGTTGGTTCTTATTCATAAATCCACAAATAAGAACCAATTACTCCATGAGTAGACTATATTCCCATCGAAAAAAGATGTTGACCTTTCTGATCGGCTATACAAGTATTGCGTTGTACGTACATGTATGCAAAATATAATGACATTACGCGAAAAAAATGTTGGACATTATCGCATAATCAGCCATGCAGAAACTTCATACAGAATTTAGAGCTGCTCTTCATCATTCGACATTACCCAGTCAGAAACAGTTCCTCGAAAAAATGTCGAAACGATATGTCTTTTCAAGGAACTGTTTTTGATTAAGTACTTAAATACATACATCTCGAAACATTCGCAACTAGAAAGTTCGGAGCATGTGTAGTTATGATACATACTCGTTTGATACATACGAGTATCATAAACTTGACTCTAGAAAGCAATAAGTTATTCATTGCTGTACATGAAGCTTAAAGCTGGCAGTCAATGATTTTTATTGTAATAATTTGTTAATTACTCCCCTAGTGGAAAAATTTTGCTGAAATGTTTTAAAACACTTTTCAGCGAAATTTCAGCATTTCAAAAAAATTTCAGTTTAATTTCAATGATTTTTCAATATATTAGATGAAAAATTTATTTTCAACAAATTTTCAGCAATTTCATTGAAATGTTCCAAAACGTGGAATAATTGCAACGAAATTTTTTCACCAGAGGAGAAAAATGTCGACTTCGGAACTATGAAAATATATAAGAGATATAATTCTTGCGATTATAATAATTAATTTCCAATCAGAATGATTAGTTGATTGACATTGAATCAGCATCGAGCAATCATTTCTGGCTAAGTCAATCTCTGATTAGAATTTAGAAAAATGTGCAAGATATTAGCTCGCACGAACTCAGCGTACTTACAGACATGCTCTCACAGTTCCGGAATCGAATCGAAACGAAATGAATTTCCGTATTAGATAAACCATATTGCATTTTTTTCCATTCTAGGCCAGAGGACATCAAGCCAAAAAAGGATAAAAATCTGGTGACAGTTGGAGTGGGAACGGACAATCATCAACGAGACCGATCATCAACGTCCTCGACCCCAGAAGTAGTCGAATCCTCCGGACCCTTTCCGAATGAGATGCATCCTCGGTGCGTGTCGTCAAGACTTGGAATGCTCCAAATAATATATATGTATTATTTGGTGTATTATATGATGAGCTGCCCTTGTAGAAAAGTACTACTAAACACTAGGCTTATTTTGAGGCACTATTGTACTACTACGCTACTGTAGTAGTGCAGAAGTATTCAGTAGTGTTGAGTGCTAAGATCTTCTATATCCACGTTTCGGTAAGATACAAAATGCAGGAAACGATTATGCTTTACAGAAACTAACTATTAATAACTCTATTTAAAAAATGCACTTTCAAAGACTCTACGAGTACACTCTGATCGAGCTAAGTGATGGTGATTTCATTTACATATGTCTCTTTATAGGGATTCGCGTCATTTTCTCTTTCTACGGAAAACAAGTCCATCTCATGACGAATCTCTCTTTCTAAAAATACTTTTTTTAAAATAAAATTATTAATAGTTAGTTTCTGTAAAGTACTAGTTTCCTGCATTTTGTATCTTGCCGAAACATGAATATATAGAAGCTTAGCACTACTCAACATTACTGAATATTTCTGCACTACTATAGTAGTGTAATAGTGCTGTAGTATAGTAGTGCCTCAAAATATTCCTAGTGCTCAGTAGTATTTTTCTACGAGGGTGGGGCAAGTTGTTACATTTACAATATCTCGCTTGAAACATCTATATATACGCAAATTTAAGATTACAATGAAATTAAATATGAAATACTTTTACACAGGGAATATTTATTTTATAATATAAAATAAAAAAAATATATTATTATAAAAATTTTTTCTTTAATTATAATAGTTATTAAAGTTAACATTGGAAAGCCATAAAATTAATATTACATGCATTTGCCGCTTTTCTTATAGATCAGGTGATCATCTTTAACTTCTTTTCCCGCTGTCGCATAAGTTTTTATATTTACAGATCCTTGTTTGCTTTTTTTTTTGTCAAATCGCATTTCTCATTCCACAGACTGTTATAATTAGATTGCTAACTCAATGATAGAAAAAGATGAATCTGATTCCGAGCTGTCTTTGTTTCAATTCACATATGCGTATGTATGCGTCCTGTCTCTGAATATCGCATAAATTTATGTGAACACTAATGTTATTATCTGTGTGATTTATATATGTGAGAGTAGAGTAAACACAAATATGGCGCTGCCCAGCGTTGTCTTCAAATGGATTGCGTTTAGCAGAACGTTTATTTTGCAACTGTTGGAAATTTTCTTCGCGCTGATTGGATTATACTTTTAGATCTAGAAAAATGATCCTATCTCAGCAGACAATCATAAAACAGTTGCACAACAGTTAAGTGGTCTGCTGGACGCGATTATGGAAACAACCATGGAAACAAAGCAATTTATTTATAGAAGTCTGTGCGTTCTATAAATAGATTGTCTTTATCTCCATGTATTTTGTAGAAGAAAAAAAAATTGTTTTCAATAGGATAAGTTGTTACACTGTAACAATCTACCCCGATCGAA